CGGTGCAGTCAGCCCGGCCCACTCCGATCAGGTAAGGGGTACGAGGTTCTGTGGTGGGGAGAGGGGTCGGTTCTGGACCAGAGAGACAGACGGATCATCTTTATTAAACTAAAACACAGATCAGAGTTTCTGAAAGATGAGAGACAAACGACTTTGACGCTCGTTTGTTCCTCTGAGACGATCTTTAAAAATCTGAATTTATTTCCACTTTAAAAATAAAAACAGTTTTTCTGACCCTCTGATTTCACTCTCACCTGTTTTGGTTTGTAGAGCCATCAGCGTGATCAGAGACACACTCGTCGCCGTCATCAGGACAAAGAGGACGGCGAGCGTCACCTCCAGACTGGACAGACCGCAGCACACAGACTTCCTGTTCGCCATGGCGTGGACCTTCACCCTGCAGGAACACAGGACCGTCCTGAGTGACCCGAGCAGGAAGGAGGAGCTTCACGTCGTTTTGAAGCAGCAGACTCTTATTTTGAAATTTCACCCTAAAGTCTGAAAAACTGCAGCAAAGATGAACTTTGAGGAGAAACGAGACGTTTAAAAACTGACAGTGAGATTTTTACCTGATTAAAGTTCGTGATTCAGGGTCACGAAGGAGCAGAAACTTTACAGAAACTTTTCATGTGAATTTATACGAATTAACCGGAAATTATGGATAAATTAAACAAAACGTTTCATCTCCAAACATAAATGTAAATGTTTTTATTTGTCTAAATTTTGTGATTCTGTTTGTGACCCTGAGACCAGGTCAAGATTTCATCTTTGTGTCTGTATCAGAGAATCTCAGCAGGAACCAGAACCTGATCGGGTCTCAGTCAGGAAACTGTTAACAGGAGGAAGTCCTCGTGGATTTACGATCTGTGCTCCGACTGTTATCTGTCCTCACTGATTCACTCCAGGCTGTTTATTTCTCTGTGTTTCAGAGGAGACGGGGGGGCGGTACCATCTGAAGTCCTGGTTTATGACTCCTCTGACCCTCCACCCCACAGGGACGGGGTCTGTTACAGAGGACACCAACGAGTGTCTGACTGAGACCCTCTGAGTCCGGGTCTGTCTTCAGCTCACTGATGTTCTTCTAAATCATCTTCTCGGTGAGTCTCTGAGAGGACCTGGTCTCTTCAGGGTCAGGGGTTACAGAGTATTTCCTTCAGTCTTCACAGACCGGTTCACGGTGGAGGGGCAGTCGTGGGTCTTTAAGGCGGTTTTTACTCCCATAAAACTGAAGGATCATAAAAACGCTGCGGCTCCTCAAAGACGATCTTTAGAGATTTATCAGAAAATCAGGAACATTAAAATAACGTTTCTACTTTCTAATCATCGTCTCTGCTGCTTTAGTCATTCTCTCTTAGAGGTGACATTGACTTCATTTCAAAATAAAAGCATGATTTTAAAAACCGGACAGACAGACGGGAAGAGCAGCTGCAGTGATTGTTTTTAACGTCATTAGAAACGATAAACGGGTCAAATCTGCCGCAGTTCTTCATGAGCTCAACTACAGGAACAGATTCTTCTCAAACATCAGAAATAAAACGTCCTCGTGTCGTTTTTCTGACTCTTTTTAAACAGAAATCAAACTTTTCATGATCTAAAGTTTGTAAAAACAGCAGCAGCTCTCGTCGTGATAACTCAGCTGAACTAAACTCCCAAACGGACCCGGTTCTGGATCAAACCAGCTGTCTGTCAGAGTCCACTTAACGTCCAATCAGAGAGGACTCATGAGTGTAAACAAGGAAGTGAAGTCCCCCGAGTTTCTGGGCCTGAACCTGGACTGGAGGACACCCCGGAGAACCTTGAGGTGTGAGTAAATCTGGATCTGGAGGTACTCACCGTGGGTTTGGAGCCTGCAGAGAAGGTGTGTTTGTGTGGAGTCGGGTCCGACACTCTGAGGAGAGCTCAGCTGTTATCTGTCTGATAATAAACAGCTGATATCTCCTCTCACTCCAAAGTTCACAGACCGGAGCCTCTCAGATTACAGAGCAGAGATAAGAACCTTTTATATAAAGACATGAATCATAAACATTAATGAAAGTCTCAGGTCCAAACAGAAACACCTGCAGGTCTGAGGGAGTCTGAGAGAGACCAGATCAACCCCCCCCCCCACACACACCCACCTGACAGTCACTTAAAGCTCCAGTGAGGAGTTTTTCAAAGGTTATGAAACAACGTCTACTGTTAATACTGAGTTTACAGACAGACTTCTGATATGAATACGACGACATACAGGAGGACCTTTTCATTACTTCAAGAAATGATCATAAATGTTCTTCCTTGGGCTGCGGCACCCTGCTGTAGTCTCGCTATAGAGTGGCGTTTTGGTTGAGGTTTGTTTATGTCTCCTCAGACCGCTCTGTATTGCTATCGTGCGGTCGTTACTCTAACTCGGTGTTACGGTGAGTTTGACCATAACTTAATTTTACGGCAGAATATCCCTTTAATCTGGACTCTAACAGACAAGTTCAAATAGAAGCGGAGACACAACAGTGAAGGTAGGATGCTTTATGAGTTTATTTAGGAAAATACAGACTGAGAGGAAAGTGAGTGTTAGAGAGAGAAACCGGAGATCTCCTGAAGGTCTGAGAGTCCAGGAGGAGAGAGAATAAGGAGTTACTGATCTGTAGGAGCGACCATCAACAGGTTCCCCTTAAACGTCAACGTACAGAGGTTCCTGATAAACGTTAGCATACAGAGGTGATGGGGGAGCGCTCATTTAGCCGAAGTACTGCGTGGGGTCCTTCTTGTTGCACAGCTGGACGTGGACGTGGGAGGTGATCCCCGGGTAAACGCTCTGCATCGGCAGCATGACCCCGATCCTTTGACCCTTCCTCACGGTGCCGGAGGTTCGATCCGGCCGGACGTAGAACAGCTTGAAGCACAGACCTGCAGAACCAGAACCGTCAGTTCAGTTACAGTGAAAGAACCTAAAGGAGTCCTGACATGAAGATTCTGCTCCTAAAGGAAGTAAACGGCGGTTAAAGAGCTGAACGTTCAGTTCTTCTGTCTTTTATACGAACAGTTAGACAGTTTAAAGTTTTGTTTTGTGTATAAATTCTTTATAAGTTGAAGCTCTCGGATAAATGTCGTGTTTTTAAACGTCTAATTTTAAAACTCGTGACTGACCCTCGCCGCTCAGGTTGATGCCGCTGTTGATGGCGGCCTTCGTGGGGTCGTTATAGACGATGAGCTTTCCGTTCAGAGTCACGTCAAACGGGGCGTAGACCTCCGATCCGTCTTCACACACGATGTCCAGACCTTGGTGAGTCCTGGAGCCCCTGAAACACAGCAGACACCCGTCTGTGACAACAGCTTCACAAAGACTAACCCGCACTTATCAATCACTTTAATCAACTGAACTTTTAATCGATCAAATCTGATCATCGTATTTAAAAAGTTTATCAAACTCAGCCGTCATGACCAGAGAATTACAGAGACCCAGTCGGATGTAAACATGTTGATTTCTTCTGTCATATTTTCACATGGAGCTCTATGGAGGATCAGTCAGCCTCTAGTGGACACTCAAAGAACTGCAGTTTCTCACACTTCCACACCAGCTAACCTGCAACACTGGAGGTTCCTGTTCGATGTAAATGATGCTGATCTGATCCACAGTACTAGTGCCTTCTCAAGGACGACATGCAGCTTACCTCTGACGCCCCTCTGTGGTGTTTGTGGGTACTGCAGCTTGTAAAATGAATTTCTTTCCCATGTTAAATCAGTTTTTATATTCTCCAACCAGGCTAATGAAATGTTGTAGTCCCTTAACACTGTTTTTAGATTAGCTTTATACAAAGGTTTAGATTTTTTGAAATGTTTAAATTCAAATGTTTTCTTCAATGTTTTTTTTTCTGTCTACAAAAATAAATCCAGATTTAAGGGTGTTACCTTCTCGCTCCATAATTTCCAGCCCCCCAGGAGTCTGATGTCCTTCTCCTGTTGTTTGGGTTTCCACTGCAGAGCGGTCCAAACCGGACGCCGTCACACACACACAGCAGGGCTGCACACACACACACACACACACACACACACACAAACACACATTATTGTTATGGACACTTCAGGAAACACTGCAATGACAAACTTTCACAGTTTAGGGACCTTATAAAAAGTCCCCACTTTGTACCAAAAACATGTAAAGAATTACAGTCTGTTGTTTGAGTCACTTCAGAAAACTTTCACAATGACCCTCAGATTTTCTTAATCTGGTCAAAAACAGTTGAAACCATGTGGCGAATCTTATACCAAGTCCCCATTTTGTACCAAAAATGTGTAAAAACAAACATGTGATCTTGTTTTTAGTGACTTCAGGAGACATTACAATGACCTACAGTTGATCCAGGCCTATTAAACACAGTCTGAATCTGACCTAATATAAGGTCCCCAGAGTCATGGTTTGTGTAAATGTCCCCACTTTGTACCAAAAATGTGTAACACAAACACAGCAGTATCCTGTCTGTGTGTGTCCTGAGGTGAATGAGTTGTTCTTGTTATTTTACAGGTTTGAAATGTCTAAATCTGCAGCAGGATGACGGCGGCTTCGCTCAGTGTGAAGCTTCATTTAATCTGGATTTACCGTCTTACCGAGTAAAACGATGAACCGTCTCATCCTCAGCTCTCAGAGTTTGATCCAGATGAGGAGTAAATCCAGTTTCTTCTCGTTTTGAAGGTAAACCGAAGCTCCTCTCGGGTTTTATACCCCGCTGGTGTTCCTCTTTCAACATGTTGGAAAGTCCAAACTGACTGAAAAAGCAGAAGCCTGTCAACCCCGGACTTCTGATTCTTTCACAACAAAGAGGACGTCCTGCTCAAACTGTTTACCTGTCCTCACCTTTGACTTCCACATTCTCACTGACGAAACGATCATTACTTCACTGTTAAAGTTTAACCTGAAACTTTCCTGAACCTGCAGATTCAAACTGAGAACAGAGATTTATCCTGTTAATTCTAGAAAAACAGACGACTCAGATTTCATCAAAACAAACATCAACAAGATGAAATCA